TTAATGTACTTATTTTTTTTTTCTTTTCTAAATTTTTTTAATACTCTTTGCGACATTGTTGTGTTGGACGACGGCGTTTGTGTAATTCCCATTTTTTAATTGCAGGCATTACATTAAACATTTCTACAGGTGGACCGAGTTCGCCTATTCTTAATAAACATCCTAATTGTTGAGTAGACAAGGAGCATCTAAAGTCAGTTTTAACCACATTCAACTTTGAAAACATTCTTTTTAGCTTAGAGTTGCACACGGGGATGGTAAAAAATAGTTTAACTAATGCCAAAACATTTTTCCAGCTCTTACACCAAGGAGAAGAGAATATTTTTCTCCATGTACACAAATATGTTTGTGTTGATATTGAAAGATACTCACGAGCATACTCTAAAAGAGAGTGTCATTGACTTAAGACATCTGACGCATTAATGCCAGCACATTTTAAAGGTGTTTCAAAACGATGTACTAAATAAGTAATGGCGTCATCTGCGAACTCATTGTTATTAACAGTTAAGTTTTTTACTACTTCTTTCTGATCCCATCCTTCACAATTTAAAACTTTCAGAACAAATTTGAATATTTGCTTGCTTTCAGCTTGTTTCAGCTTCTTCTTCTAAACAAACTTTAATGCAACTTTTTACGCGTTTATAAAATTCTTTTTTTTTTGGATTTAACAAAACTAATTGACCTGTCATAATTTTTCAGCTCGATATCTTGAAAATAATAATATTTTCCCTCTTTACAAGTAACTTTCGAAATCAAGTATTTTACATGTGGGAGTTTTTCAAATTCTTTTTTTTAAATAAATTCAAGCGATCTTTTGTTTTTGACAAGAAATACATTGTATTAACCATGTCAATTTTATCACTTTGCATAGAAACAGATAACTCTGATGCGATTTCAAGTAAGTCAATACACATACTTAAAAGAAATAGCATTTTACTGCCATTCCACTTCGCTAGATAACCCTTAAGTTTAGCTTGCTCTATAGTTTTGGTCGATGGATCTTGACAAATATTTTCTAAGTGCTGAATGTAAATTCCCCACTTGTCAAGACACATTTTCATAGCAGCAATTTTGTGGGAAATCCATTGAGTACTGCTGCATTTTTTGGGTCGATATCCACCAACATTAAATTCCACTCCTTCTTTGTAAGCATTGTAGATTTCTTTTAGTTGACGGAGTTTTTTTGGTGCCCTTTTGTAAAGATAATATAAACGTAAAAGCATTTCATCAATGTCATCAAAAGCCGTTTTTGACAAAGCATCTTTTAATGCAAGCTCTAAGCGATGAGCAACACACCATATAAATACTATCCAGGGTTACTTTTTCTGAAGAATAACATCAATACTTTGATTACTTCCTCAGTTAACTGAAGCACCATCAGAAGTAAAACCTATAACCTTACTTTCAAACTCTTCAAATCAAAATTCGTTAGACATTAGAAACATAGGCTTGAGAAATTTTTTAAATTTCTCAAGCCTATGTTTCCACTTGAACTTCATCACTTCCCACAGGTTCAGGGTCGAAATAAGTTAGATAAACAACTTCATCTTCTAATGTTGCACTATCCGTTGTTCCATCACATAATATCCCAAAAAATTTAGATTTTGACAAAGCAAATAATGGTTTCCCTTGTAAATCTGTGGTGGGGATCAAACTCGGAACCACTCGTTTATGAAGCGAGCGCTTACCTAACAGCTAGATATATACCTAATAGCTAGATTACCTAACACATTAGCCATTTGTCTTGCCCTTTGATCCAGTGATAATTTTTTATAATCATAATATAGTTTGCAAGCATATGCATAGGATTTGTAAGACATCACAAACAGCAGATTTTTTTTTAATTAGTTAAATAAATAAATTGAAAATAAGTGAACGATGATGCACTATTTAACGATAATAACTAAATATTTTAAGTGTAATAATCTGAATTACATTTATACTGTTTGCCATTTAGAACGCTAAGTGTTATTTATCTTCTAAAGAAATTCTTACATGCTTACTCATTAAAAGTTAAATCAAATCATTATGCTAGATATTGGTTATTACAAATTCGAAAAAATCTACACGCTTCACTTTTACTCATTTAACGGCGGTTAAATCAAACGCAATATGATATTTACGGGCTATTATTTAATTTAAAAATTCCACGCGCTGCATGTCATTAAAATTCAATTAATTCAACGAAGAAAATTTTATGAGTTCTACAGGTTATTATTTATCTACTTTTCAAAAAGGCACTCCTTCTTTGGCAGACAATTTTTATAAAGATAGAACTTTTTAATCTTATATATATATATATATATATATATATATATATATATATATATATATATATATATATATATATATATATATATATATATATATATATATATATATATATATATATATATATATCAGGCCTTGCGATAAAGCGTCGGGCGATGTGAATTTTACGTCGTCCAAGAGCGATTTTGCGTGTAGCTAGGGCTATTTGCGTCAAGTAAAAAATTTTTTGTTTGAGTATATTTAAAGATATTTTTGAGCAGAATTTTAATGAAGTAATTTACGATTCTTTTAACATTTAATAAAGTATTTTAAAAACCGCACGCAGTTGATATAAAAGTTTGAATTAAAAAAAAATAAATATGCTCATTATTTACAAGTAGAAAAAATTCATATTAAAAAAAAAGTTTAAATCTTTTAAGCTAACATTTTAATAAAATTATTCATCAATAGCAAAGTTGTTGATAAAATTTCTTTTAGTTTTAGATTTTAAACTTAAATAATTATTTTGCGGGGGTTTGTTAGGTTTTAAAATTATTCCATAGAATCAATGGAATAAACAGTTAATAAATGTTTTTAAATCTATGATAGATTAAAAAATATTTATTAACTGTTAGACGTATTTAAAGTATTTAAGAGTAATTTCGAGGAAACATTTTAAAAATTGGTGAGCGTAAAAAAAAAAAAAATAAAAGGATTAATATTAAAACGTATTCTACTTGATTCAATAAAAAAGTAAAGTTATTAAAATTTTTGTAAAAAGTAACTCAAAAAAATTACTTAAATAATAACGATCGCTTTTATGTTAAAAGTTACCGAAACTCAACGAAGCGTGCTCAAGAACAGCTGCTGAAAAATAGAACGTCAATAGTTTTTCGAATAATTTTTAATAATAATTTTAAAGAATAATTTTTTCGCTGAAATATTTCTTTTATACCTATAAGATTTTTATTCTAACATTTTATTTTATTTTACTAGAAATAAAATTCCTTACGAGTGATTCAAAAAAATGCCTCTAAAAAAACACCTTTGTAAAATCTTTTATTATCAAATTTTTAAAACTGCCAGCTTTTCTTTGCTTTTCGGTGTCCACGGCGTTTGCAGTAATCAATCAAACATACTTTGACTTATATATATATGTGTATATAAATATATATATATATATATATATATATATATATATATATACATGTATATATATATATACATGTATATATATACAAAAAAAAAAAACTGAGGGGAAGAATTAGGCATGATTTTAAGTCCCAAAGTAATAAATATATATATAAATATATATATATATATATATATATATATATATATATATATATTTATTACTTTGGGACTTAAAATCATGCCTAATTCTTCCCCTCAGTTTTTTTTTTATATATATATATACATGTATATATATATACATGTATATATATATACATGTATATATATATATATATATATATACATATATATATACATATATATATATATATATATATATATATATATATATATATATATATATATATATAATATATATATTTATATATATATATATATATATATATATATATATATATATATATATATATATATATATATATATATAGATATATATATAGATATATAGATATATATATATATATATATATATATATAATATATATATATATATTTATATATATATATATATGTGTGTATATATATATATATATATATATATATATATATATATATATATATATATATATATATATATATATATATATATATATATATATATATATATATATATAAATACATTATAAAGTGATCTACATTAATTTTGCTCAATTTCACATATATTGATGCTTGCATTTCCTCATTTTTAAATCCGCAAACTTCTGAATCACTTTAACAAAATCAATGTCTTTTGCAAAATAATTTCTTTGCATGACTGGAAACTTTTGATGGATGCAATTTTGAACTGAACCAATCTTAATACTTTGAAGTTTCATTTTCAAAAAACTTCTCTCCCATGTAGCCATAAACATACAGATTGAAAAAAACTGAGGGGAAGAATTAGGCATGATTTTAAGTCCCAAAGTAATAAATTTCAAAACGCCCAATACAGATAAATCTTTGGCTTTGTCTGCATTCTTTGTTACCACCATATATCATAAGTTAAACTATTAGTTGCAAGTATTTGTTTTTTTTCTTTCTTTCAAGTACTTTTATGTAAGATTAACTCAAAAACATTCTACCAAAAGTAAAGGCAGCACAATAGTATGAATTTGCAGATAGCAAGGCAAAAACCTTTCATATCTAAATTTGAATGGGGATCATGTAAACTTTAAACATCAAAACACATTTATCAAACTTATTTTTCATCGGCTGCAGCATGTTGTTGACAACCATAGTCAATATATATATATATATATATATATATATATATATATATATATATATATATATATATATATATATATATATATATATATATATATATATATATATATATATATATAAATGCTATAAAATTAAGTTTGTTTTTGTTATTTTTTTGCTGCTAACAGCAAAAAGTTTAACTTGGATTTTTCACTATATTTTACCCATAGTTAGTTATTTTTTATACTTATTTTATTATTACTACTATACTCAGTCACTCAAACAATATTAACTTTGTTTTTAAAATATTTCGTTTTATATTTATGATTTTTGAAATTTCAATTATAAATGTAACAGTTGGAAACTCTTACCTATCTCATTTTTGCTTGGGTCATAGTATGCATTAATTGTAGGAGGTGTCATTGCCCAAGTGGTTTTGTCAACTTTTTTCCTTAATTGTTTTAGCTCTTTTGATTTCATATGTCGCATAACTTTAACTTCATTAGCAAAATATTCTTCAGGATGCAACTCCAACTAAAAAAAAAAGCTTACTTACAAGTAATTAAAATATTACTTGATCTCACAAATGCTGTCACAAATAATGAAAATTTTCAATATTAAGTTTTAAAAAAAGAAATTAATATTTGTCTCAGTCATTTATTCATAGTTATGAGGTTGAGAGAGGACAATAATAATAACATTATTTTAAAAAAATTACCTACTCGTTTCTAGATACCATTATTGATGTAAGGGGATTAAGATTTAAGATCGATGTAAGGAGGTATATTATATTATTTATTAAATAAATTAGTATTGAATTAATTATTAAACAATAAATAGCATCTCCATTCATTAAAATGAAATGAAATTGAAATCTTTTCATAATAAAACATTTTAGCGTTTAATGGTAACCAGCTAGTTACCAAGGTAACTAAAATATGAGGTTATATATTTTTTAGAACAGAAAATTTTTTAAATTTCTTTATATCAATATTAAAACATATAAAAGAACATATAAAAAGTCAAAGACAAAATGTTGTTTATATTTATACATATAAATTTTTTTAAATGTTATTCACCTCCTTAAGCCCAAGAAGGCAACTACAGTTAAGGAGGCTATTTTTTTTGGTTATAACTCTCAATTCTTTAAAACAGTCTCTTCTTAAAAGTCAAAGCTTGACAAACAAGGTTGCTTGCAGAGAAATAAGATGAATGCGGTACTACGAGGGACATGGTAGAGATCAAACTCGGAACTTCTCTCTTATGAAGTGAGGGCTTAAGAAGGAGTGCTGTTACTAATATATTACATAATTTTTTTTGAATAAAATTTTTATATTTTTGTTACAAAAATACCACACATTTATTAATGTATTACCTTTTTAAATAAAATTAAAGGCATTAAAGTTTGATAAAACAACTAAAGTATATAAAAATATTCTGAGCTTTCTGAAAAAAAAGAAAGCTCAGAAAGTAATACTTTCCAAAAAAAATATAATGATCATTTTTTTTTTTTTTTTTTTTTTTATTTTAATTCACTTCCTCAAGGCCGAGAAGGCCACTACAGACGAGGAAGCTACTTATTTGTGGTTAAAACCCTCTTTCAACTCTATAACTCTGAAACACGAACTTTGACGAGCAAGGCCACTGCGCGGAGAAACGAGTTGAGCGCGGTACTACCAGGGACGTAGTGGGGATATTCAATTTAACAAATTGAAGTAGAATACTTATGAAAATTGAACTGTATGTAAAAATCAGTTGATACAAAGTCATCTACATATGATTTTCTACCACTTTCTTTTTAATAAAATGATAATGATTATGCAGTTTTTTTTCTATATAAATTTGCAAAATCTTTAAACAGTTTTTTTAACTTGATTATTTTTACACAAAAAGTCTGTTCTATATTGAAAAAAATCATTAAATGGACTTAAACAAACATTTGTCCCACAAGTTTTATTAATATTAACCTCCCCAAGTATTCAAAGAGGATAACTTTGAAATAGAAATTGATCTAGAAGTAATCAATTAAGTTACAATTGGTCATTCTACAAATACACGCACTAATATTGTCAATCTTATAGGTTTTCCAATTTATTGAAATAAACTATTTGAGTTTAGTTAAGTGTTTAGTAAACACTCAAGTCATTAATCTCACGAAATCAATTTCTCTATTTATTTCTTTTCCTCTACTTTTTTTTTATTAATATTAACAATTTCTTCTATTCCATTGGGAATATTTGCACAGTGTGTTATCTTAGTTTTCTTATTTCATAACACACTGTGCAAATATTGAGTTATAAAAGTGCACAGCACAGTGTATTACGAAATAAGAAAACTATCTTAGTTTTTTTATTTCATAACACACTGTGCTAATTATCTTGTTTCTTATTGTCAAAATTATAAAATTCACAATTTATTTATCACGCATTTCATCATTTATTAAAAAGAAAGGACACCCAAGTGGTATTTTATATATTTATCTTGTGTATTCTAATTACTTTTACATATTATTAAATACTTACCCAACACACTTAATTAAATTATAAACTTGATAGGTGATCAATGCCCAAAACAAATGTATAAGCACCCAATAATTGTTTTAGCAAATCTGCATGTTTTATTAAAACTTTACTACAAGCTGACTAACTACTGAAGAAGACACACAAAGTAACTTAAAATTAACTATTTCAGGACAGGTTATCACCCGATGATCAGTGATGACATTGATATAATAAAAATATAATATTTACAAATTTGAGTAGTTTATCAACAATTTTAAAGTAATATATAAAATCAGTTTTTGATTTGTTTAGTGTGTATATGCATTCACAAATTTTTTAAACCTTGGTTGTGCTAGAATACACAACTTAATGTTGATTTCCTTTCAATAATATGTTGAACCGTGTTGTTTCAATTACAATATATTGAGCATCAGAAATGAAAAGAATGAAAATGTTGTTTCGTACAATACATCAACTGTGCTATTTAAATTTAGTTTTTCAGAAAAATTCAGCTAACAATCAATTTTAGATAGCGCACAGTATTCATTCTTGATTGAATCATGGTATTCATTCTTGATTGGATAATGGTATACATTCTTAATTGAATCATGGTATTCATTCTTGATTGAATCATGGTATTCAATCTTGATTGAATTATGGTATTTAATCTAGATTGAATCATGGTATTCAATTTTAATTGAATCATGGTATTGATTTTTGAATATTATGATGATGATAGATTATCTCAAACAAACACTGATAAGATTATTAGACATGCAAATATTAAAGAGATTTTATGACGTTAAAAACGCTATACAAAAATATAGATAATGAATCTACTATAACATTCAACAAAAAATGCTTTGCTGTGTTTAACTTAAACACTGATAAATGTCTTATTTAGCAGAAAACCTACGGATAGATAATTATGGAAATACAAAATATTTGATATTCTCTTTTATGATATGATTAAGTTTAAAAAAACAAAAATTGAAAAATACTATGACTTTGCGATCTTATCATGATCATTAAAATTGTGACAAATATCATGACTTTGTGATCTCATCGTGATCATTAAAATTGTGATAAATATTATGACTTTATGATCTCATCGTGATCATCATAGTTGTACCAATAATCATTTGAAGCAACACAAATAAGACATAAGCAACTTTTTAGTCATTTTTAAACTAGACATAAACCTAACATAACACTAATGCAGTACAGCAGTACAGTATATCATGTCATTTAGTCTACATGCTATCTAGGTTGTAATATACTTTTTAATTTGACTGCCATCAAAAAACAACCTTTTATACATAGAGGGCTTCAAAAAAACTTTGGGGTATGTTATAAAGACAAGAAATTTTCTTTTCTTTCTAGAATAATAATAATGTATAATATAATAATAATAATAAATATTTATAAATTTTGTTATTAAACTTGCTACTATTAATAATAAAAAAAAAATTACCCCTTCATAATAAAAGTCAAGCTTGTCTTTATCAAGTATAAATTTTGGATAGCCAATCTTTTGGTTAATTGAGTCAGCCTTTTCTTGCGCAGCTAGACGTGTTGGCTCATCCATCCAAGAGAGTGACTTAAATGATGCTATAAATGCTGTTCTCACAGCTTCAACCATTTTAAGTGCCTAAAAAAGGTTTATACCTTATAATCATTTACTAAACAAAATTACTAAATATTCAATGGTATATCTGCCAAACATACCTATTTTTACCAATCTTTTTTTTTTATTCTCCAAGTTTTAAAGTTGCTGAATAAAGACCTACGACAGGTCTTGTCACAAAACAGAGTGAAAGAACATTTAACACAGAAATTCATGTCACCTTGCCCACTCCAAACACTTATATGTTTATACTTATGTCAAATAAAGATGCTTTGCAAAAAATTGCAATTATTAGAGTCTGGATACAAAAAAATCTTAAAATTTTGGCCACAACTGTCCTAAACATGAGAGCAACAACTTGATAAATTAATTTTTTACTATTCTTAACTAAAATGATATCCATCGATAAATTTTAAATTTCAAACAATAATCTCTTAGTGTTCAAAAATTTTGACCTCATAAAAATTGTAACCTCTAATTAATTGAGGGGGGAGGGGGTCAAACTTTACATTCAATCTTTTGCAGAGCATCCTTTTTGAGAAAAGTATAAACATATAAATGTTTGGAGTTTTCTCTTGAAATTATCAACTGAACTACTGACTATTCAACACATAAGCTTAACTTTAATTGGACTATTCAACACTTGCAAAGCCATAGCAATGTATATGTGGGATTGATAATTTTTCTGAATTTTTAAAAATATATGGGTAGAACTTTTTAAACTTCCGTCGTTTGTAAATACTTTTTTAAACTTTTATTTATATTATTTGCCTGTTTTTAATTTCCCAATTAGTTTATTTTTAAATTAGATTATTTTCAGTTTAATTTTTCCATAAATACTGTTTTTTGTAAATTTTAGGATGGATTTTTTCTAGTTGTTTTTTATTTGTGATATTCATTTCATATATTTCATTTCGATATATTTATTTCGATCTATTCATTTCGATATATATTTTTTTTTACTTTCTACTTTGCAAGAGTTTCTTGTATTGTTGCTGTTTCTATCTGTTTATTTTTTAATTTATTATTCGTGTAGTTATTGTTTTTGTTTGTTAATTTATCTTGTTTTTTATAAGTTAATTTTTTGTTTAGTATTTGTTTGTACTTTTTTGCTTACATTTTGTTAATATTATTTGTTATTCATTTTAGATGATATATCATATTATTATATTATTTCATTTTTCATTTCAGTTTTCATTTTGATAATAAATGTTATAAATGTTAATTAATCATTGTCAGTTTTTTTATAATAACTGCTTTTTATCTCACAGTAGGTTGTTACTTTATGTCAGTTTTTAACTGTTTGTAACTTTTTCTTATCTGTGTATATAATATTCAGTTTTTGTTTAGAAATCTAATAATTATTTATTTTTATACCAATTTATTATTTTTATTATCGGTGTTCATAATTTTTCATTATTAACATTATTATTATTATTATCATGATTATTCTTATCATTATCATGTTATTTTTATTAATATTATTTTATGTACCATTCATTTTATTTGATATCATTTTCATCAGGTTTTTAGTTTAAATTAGTTTCAAACTATTTGTAAATATTCTTTATTGTTAGACCTTAATTAGAAATATATGATTGATTAAAAAAATCTACTTTATATCTTAACATATTTACTTTATATCTGCACATATTTGCTTTATACACTACTGTATATATACTTTATATATTTGTATTATACAGTAGCATACATTTATATACTACTGTATTTACTTGACCATCCAATTTGAGTATTCGATTACTTGATATTCAAATATATTTTTTGACTATTTGATATTCAAATATTGTTTTAGAAATATTCAAATAATTTTAAAAATTCAAATCAGAAACATAATTTTTACTTTTAAGGACAAATTTGATAGCCTGAAATATAAAAAATTAATTTTAATTTCTTAATTTTAATCAAGTTAATACTTCAAAATTTATAAAATCTACCTCATCATAACTACTGCCAGCAAATGCTTCTTTAACAAACAAACTTCCTAAAGCCAAGCCCAAACCACGATCAGTTGTTCCTATACAACGCTTCCAACGTGGCTCTAACTTAAAAACACCAAACTCTGCTATGGATAAGTTCTTAGCCAATAAAGGAAAATCTTCAGTAATTATGTTGGAATAAGATCGTGCCAGATAAAACATCATGTAGTTCTGCAACACTCTATAAAAAAAAAAAAAGATTGTGTCTAATAAATTGCCCTCTAACAAAATGCATTAAAAAAAATTATAACATTTTTTTTTAAAACATCTTCACTTCCAACAAGGCTGCAATCACTATTAGAGTTGAAAGTTACTGAAAGAGAAAAGATGAAGCTTGTAGAGTAAAATAACAATTGACAGACGACTTAAAAGATTGCAAATTATATGAAAGCAAGATAAAGGAAGCAAATTTCAAAAAACTGATGTTCGAGGAAAAAAACTAGAAGAATTTTTGGAGCACCATAATAAGCAAAATAAATAAGATTTATTTTCCTTATTATTAAATAGATAATTTTAATTTTTTATATTATTTTAAATGACATCAGCTAAAAAAATATAAACAGGTTATGGGAAACACAGTATAAATAAAAACAGCACACCCTGATTTTAATAGGTACATGACATTGAACATGTTATTCTAAATAATCACAGATCAAGGAAAATAAAATTGCATCACTTCACCTGGTATCCCAGTAGACTGGCTGAAATTTGATCCTAATTTGAAATTTAATGACAGAGCAGAAAGAGGAGTTGCCTTAATCTAAGAATATAATCAAATCTTCACTAAAGATAAATGACTTAATCTAAGAATATAATCAAATCTTCACTAAAGATAAATGACGAAAATATAGATGACAAAAATAAAATGACTTAATCTAAAAATATAATCAAATCTTCACTAAAGATAAATGACAAAAATATAGATGACAAAAATAAAATGACTTAATCTAAGAATATAATCAAATCTTCACTAAAAATAAATGACAAAAACAGGCACTGTTATAAGTAGATTCTGAACACCAAAAAAATTTTAGGTGCCAAAAAAATCAATCATTGCCAAACTTTAAATTAATGGCTTTTCTGGCTAATGAACTTTTCAATTCAATTTCAAAACAATTTGTCACTATTTTGTTAAATTCTAGATAATATGTTTAAAAACAAAAAATGCATGTATGCAAACGCAAAAAATTAAGGTGGCAGTTCACGTTCACTTGCCAATTAAAAATGTTCCATTTTGCCCAATAAAAGGTGAACGCTGCTCACATTCATGGCCTGTTTAGGTTATAAAGGTTGAACAACGCAAAAAAAAAAGTGTTCAAACTGATTGCGTGAATAGAAATGAAGGGAGAAGGGGGTTTAGACCACCAAGCATATAAAATTTACATAGAGATGGGGGAGGGGGGTCAAAATCTGGAGATTTTTTGCGTACGTAATATATGGATGGCCCCCAACTACATTTTTGATTGTTTAAAAGATTTAAAAAAACATTTAACAAAATTGAGAATTTTGAAATTTAAAACAATTTTGTAACATATTACTTAATGTCACAATAGTCATAAGGATATAGAAAACCTTATGCACAATGAAGCATGTCTAAATGTTGGAATATCTCAACCATTTATTGCACTTTAATTTATTATATTAAAAGAAACATAACCTGGGGCTGTCACATGTGTTTACTAATAAATTTACCATTTTTCCAACTTAATGTTTAATTCAATCTTCTCTAACAATACCCTGTTTTTTTCATATTATATAAAGCTTTTTTTTTTCCTGCAACTTCTGCAATCTACCATAGACTATCAACATGTAATTATAAAAACCATCTTTTTTTGTGCGGTTTGTATAGTTCAAAAAACTTTTTATTATGACACCACTACAGAAAACCTCTCATCCAAGGTTAACAAATTTCTCTTACCCACACTAAAATGGGGTTTTGTTTCAGAGCTTTTCATTTCTGAGGTGAGTTGTCTTTACCACAGCTTCATATGAAATAACTCATTACATAAAGGAAATCAAATTTAAAGACATTTATAAGACACAAAAATACTAGTTTTTTAACAATTTCTTATTTTTATATAAAAAAGTATAAACTTTACTAAATTTTTATCTGATAATATTAATATGCTATTTTGATAGTAGCTAATAGTCGATTTACATCATTTTGTGGGCTTTTCTATTTTAAAGTAGTTTCTAGGCTTTTCTATATGCGGTTTTTTTTTTTAATTTTATTTACTAACAACCCGTATTACGGGTTGCTTACTTCTAGTATATCATTATTATATATTGAAACAACAGTTTTATACCAAAAAGTAATATATTGAAATAACATAGTTTTATATCAAAAAGTAATATATTGAAACAACATAGTTTTATACCAAAAAGTAATATTTTGAACTAACATAGTTTTATATCAAAAAGTAATATTTTGAAAAACTCAAGACTTCTTAAATATCATATCATATCAAATATACCTCATACTTGTCTTTTCTAATAAAGAATCAAGGTTGTCAGCAAACTTCATACTTTCTATGACTATAGGCTCATCTTCTGTAAACTCTATACCAGTTGAATTGAATACATTATTCATGTAAATCAGCCAGTCAATCTAAAAAAAAAAATTTTCTAACCAATCAGTTTTAAAAAATACAACTTGAAATGTTTAAACTTCTGGTGACCTGCTATTACATGTAAAAACAACTTGTATTAAGAAATTTTTAAAAACCCTAGAGTGATATTTTTTAATAATGTCTTTAGTGAAAGTATACCCAGCACTGGCACTTGGTACCCAGGCCTGACACTGGCCACTTGTTGTACTATATCATAAAAAAAGTTAAAACACCGAAAATTATTACAAAAATAGAAAACCTCAAAAATAGTTTAGAAGTAAATTTTTTCTTCTTGTGTTTAAATATTCTTAAACTATTTTTAAAGGAATAATAACAAAAACTATTATAAAAGTTAAATGTATTTTATTCACATTTTTAACATGTTTTTGCAGTTCCTTTAGAGTTGTCTTGTAGTACCGATCTTCTATTGTAACTAAATTCTCTGCAGGCACAAAAATCTAAAAGAAACAAATCAAGTAAAAGTCAATTAAAAACTTTGAATAAAAAATATATTGGACAACATGTTGTTTTTATCTTAAATGTTTGTTTTTATCTTAAATGTTTGTGTTCATCTTAAATGTTTGTGTTTTATCTTAAATGTTTGTGTTCATCTTAAATGTTTGTGTTCATCTTAAATGTTTGTGTTCATCTTAAATGTTTGTGTTCATCTTAGAAAAAAAGTAAAAAAGTATCTAGTTCAACAAAACAAATTATTCATTGAGATATTATTAATAAACTTTTTCATTTTTAATGCCAGATTGTTTTTTGCAAAGAAAAGTTCTAGTTGATTTTTTTCTTTCAAAAGAAATTTGGTCTGAAATTTTACATCAATAAAAAGTAAGTATTGTTGTTAAATTTAAATGTTTTGGATTCCCGCATTTTAATATGCTAAGTATAAAAATACATTTTTATTAAAATTTAATAATTTGCAGACATACTTTAACGATAACTTGCTATTATTAGAATTTTTTAAAATTATGAAAAGTTTTAAAAATTAAGTTTAAAAGAGACAAGTAAATACATCTGTAATTTGTTAAAAACAGTCCCTCTAAAAAAGTTAATAAACCAAAAATAATATTTTTGGGATCAATTGAATAATGATAATATTAAATGATAAAAGTATGTATAAATAAAGCTGCTTTTTTAATAAAAGTATTTAAAAAAACCATTACACTTTTTATATTGTCAAAACATATATAAAAAATTAAATGAGAATTAAAATGAAATTATTAAATGAAATCCAGTAAAAAGGTATAATTTTAATCACAAACTAAAAAAGGGAAAACTGAAGCTTGTGCATAACCCCCACATGCATAAAATATATCTTTTAAAAAAACCTTGATGGTGAATACACTGTTCCTTTAAAAAAAAAAAAAACAGATTTTTATAACAAAAAAACTAAGCAAAATCGAAAGCCTAATATTTGACTTAGAAACAGAAATTAGAAAAAAAAAGATTGCAAAATTGCAAAAAAGCTAAAAAGTTTTCTGTTAATATCTCAATAAATAATTTATTTTGTTAAGTTTTATAAAGTCTAAACTTATTTTCTAAGGTTTATTTAAGATATGAACTCAACTTGCCTAAGCACTAAAGGATTTAAGCAATAGAAAAGGATATTTAAAAAGCAAAAAAATGGTTAACAGAAGACTTGAAAAATCCTAAATGATATAAGTAAAAAAAAATAAAAAAATGAGTTATCGACAAATCCTGCAAGATTGTGGTTTAGTTAGATCAAGAGATAATAGCTTGTTTGAAAAAAAGATGCAATTCTTTAAGGATGGGACAGTGGCTCAAGCATGACAAATAGAGTAGGTCTAAGTAAATTTACAATGTGCAGGCTTGGACAGGAATGGGGTGCGATCAAACGCTATTGCTGACCACGACTGTTTAGATGTTTTTATGATTTAAATATTTCAGAAATGCGCTGAAGAAAGGAATGCTAAGCTAAACAGTTTAGCTCAGCGCTTTTATGTCTTTTTTTTCAAGTCTGAAAACTATGAAAAAAATTTAAAAAAATGAAAAAGAAAAAATTCCTCACTAAAAATAAAATATATAAGCTTTAAAATAAAACTCAAAAAACTCAAATTTGAGGTGAAATTTACTTTTTGTTACGTTTTAATTGCGGTTGAAATAAATTACTTAAAAACTTAACTTTTGAAACGTTTTGTTAAAGTTACGTAAAACGCTTTTACAAATTACTTTTAATGATTGTTTAATAAATGAACAAATTTTATTTAAATTGTTGTTTTCTTTAAAAAGTGAAACTAAATTATTGAAAGGAAAAAAATAAAATATTTTTAAATTTATTATTATTAAAATGGAAAAAATATAATATTTTTAAATTGCATAAACATTTTTTTTGAAAAGGTTGCAAAAAAAAAAAAAATTTTTTAATAATAAAGTGATCTTTTTAAAATAGTAATTTTTAATCATTTCTAAAGTAAAAAATTTTTTTTTAAATAATTCTTTATAAAAAATAGAAACAAAAAAAAAAATAATAATAATAAAGCAATTAAATCATTGCAACAGGAAGTTTTTAATTAAACTTATTCATAATTTAAAGTATTTAAAAAAAAAAAAAATCTTATTAAAGATTTTTAGAAAGACACGGAAAAATAGTTTCAAATGTTTAAATTTATCATAAAAAATATTACTACTAAAAAAAATTTACATTTTTAATTTACACAAAATGCGTTTATTTTAAACGATCTTTTTTTATTTTATTCAAAGCCTTCACGTAAAATAAAAACGTTACAAAGATCAACAATTAATTGTTCTTAATGTAATGATTTTTTTATTGCAGTTAAATTGTTAAAACATTAAAACAGCAGTGGTCAAATTGTAAAAAAACAACATTATTAGCCTGGTCAGTTACAGAGTGCGATCGCATGCCTGACCAAGCCTGATGTGATTTTGAACTTTATTGAAAGAAAAATCGGAAGAATAATAATAAACTTAGATACAGAAGAACACTTTTTCTTTTGACAAAACTTTTCTTAAAATGCTTAAAAACTAAAAATGAAACACTTTTATGGTTTTTTGGTTTTAGTTTTTATAGACATACTTTATGGGCTAGTTTTGATTGAAATATTTAAAACTTCATCTAAGTAATTGTTTCAGAATATTGTTTAACTCTGAATCAATATTGTACATGTACATTTATGAGAAATTTGTACATTCACATCTGTAACAAATGTTGTACATACACATCTGCAACAAATGTTGTTTATACACATCTGCAACAAATGTTGTACAGACACATTATTTTAAAATGTTGTACAGACACATAACAAATATTGCACATTTTATATTATTACAATTTCATGTGATAATAATAAGATATAAAAAACCTTTGATAGATCTTTTTCAAAGTGAAATGTTTCATTTGCTATTTCGTACGCTGCATCTACAGAAATTTCAACATCCAACTTTTTTGCAAGATTTGTAAGATACCAGATATAGGCCTGTATAACACTATCTGTACTATTTTCATTGTAACGAAATGATGCCAAAGCAAGGCCTTGCTGATAAAGCTGCAATTAAAATACCCATATATATATATATATATATATATATATATATATATATATATATATATATATATATATATATATATATATATATATATATATATATATATATATATATATATATATATATATATATATATATATATATATATATATATATATATATATATATATTAGGCTGGTTCTTAAAACAACTTTTTTTATAAAAGACTGCTGGCACCCTCTGAATATGCTGTATATAATAAAAAAATTCTGGATTTAAAAAATTCTTGAATAAAAATTATTTTATGGGGTTGCTACCGACCTTCAAACATTAAATAGGTCTCTAATATTATAAAAAAAAAGTTTTTCAAAAGTATGCCATGTTGGGTCTCAAACGAAGCGAAATTATATAAAAATTTCAAAAATAATATTCATTTTATAAAAAAACATTGATAAAAAAAAATTATAATAAAAAAATCTTGTTAATTTCTCTATTAATTGTTTTTAGTTAAAAAATGTAATTTTCTGTTCACTAAAATATAAAATAAAAAATTAATTATAAAATGATTAATATTTTTGAAATTTATATAATTTCGCTTCGTTTGAGACCCAACATGACATACTTTTGAAAAACTTTTTTTTTTATAATATTAGGGACCTATTTAATGTTTGAAGGTCGGTAGCAACCCCATAAAATAATTTTTATTCAAAAATTTTTTAAATCCAGAATTTTTTTATTATATACAACATATTCAGAGGGTGCCAGCAGTCATTTATAAAAAAAGTTGTTTTAAGAACCAGCCTAATATATATATATATATATATATATATATATATATATATATATATATATATATATATATATATATATATATATATATATATATATATATATATATATATATATATATATATATATATATATATATATATATATATATATATATATATATATATATATATATATATATATATATATATATATATATATATATATATATATATATATATATATATATATATATACAGGGCCCTAATATATATATATATATATATATTGCATGTTTAGATAAGAAGCCTAACATCATACTGAAATAGGCAGCTACCGGGCTTAAGTACACATATCAACCAGAGACATATTTATATTTTGGGCACTATTTTTTTAAGCGCCCTCTTTTACAAATAACTGAATACTTTGATATGGGGTGATTATTTAAAAAAAAAAAAACATTTTCAATACAAACATAGTTATACTCACTTAACATTGAAAAAATATATATAATTTTCTGTGTTTTGCCAATGTATTTATGTCATTATAGTTCATATCTATGCAGATTCAATAGATAGAATTGCAAACTTATTAAGACATTCACACCAGTCATTCCCGACCTCAAATATGACTTAACCCTCTTTAATGCTAAAAATGTTCTCTCGGCTGAACAATTGGGCGTTGGGCAGCATAGATATATACTTAGAATAATATCTACTCATAGTAGCATTAAGGATAGTTGTAGTTCTTGAGGTTGATCATTTCTGATCATTTTAAAAATATTTATAGTTTTAGATCTTATATTTTCAGTTATATTCATTTAATAACTTTTGAATTGTATACACTCGTTAGCAAAAGTCAAAAGATAATTTTTTATATATATTTTAAAGTATTTTAACTTTTTTGTAAACTTTTGATGGTGTTTTATTATTTGAAACAATTTAAATTTTTTATTGGCTTCATCATAGCACAATTTTTTTCGTTCTAGTTCAGAATGTAGTTTATCAATAATAGCATAATATGTGTTAATCCTTAAAGAGTCTGGAATTTCAAAATTTATTTCTCCTTCTCTTTTTTCATCTGCAGTTAATTTTCTTTTTCTTTTGCGTATTTTTCGATATATTTTGTGTCCTGATTTATTAATTGCTCTCTCTCTAAAAAAGATTAGATATTTTGAAGCAAAATAAAAAATTCTGAAGCATTTCTACAATAATCCACAGCGCATCCACCATCAAGATTTATCATGATGGTGGATGAGAAGACATGATGGTGGGTGAATCATCAGACATGTTAGACACATTGTAATCGTAACCACAACTATTGTTTATATTGAATCCATGCAATTCTGAAATTAAAAATATAGCATCTGGTAATTATTCAGATTTATGATTTTAATTAAAACATTAAAAATCCTTTTACCGGACAGCTATTCTTTTGAACATACAGAAAAATGTACACAGTTAATCTACACAGCTAATATCAGAAGTAGAATCAATACTGATGGAAAAAAATTAAATGTAATTTTTTCACAAAAACAGGTTATTTTCGCTTGGATTTTTTGAAATTTCCCTAAAAATAGCCAATCATTGATTGTTGATCGGCCTTTATTTCAAGCGCTGCATTTACAATTTTTATAAAGATGAATTTTCAGTGGTAATATTTTTGTTTAAAAAAAAATATGCCCACGTATACTTGTAGGCAGAAAAGCAAAAAATTCTAAATTTTGCCGCCAAAAACTTGGATATATATAGTAGGTCTATCTATGATTTAGACATAATAATATAAAAATTTTTTTGAAAATAATAATAAAATTACTATTTAACGACTTTCTAAGATTCTACTGTTCTACCCCTCTACAGCAAATAAGTCTGATATCAACTGACTAAATAGGTTGAATATGCAAAGAATGCCACTACATAGACTAAGGGTATAAAAAAATTGACAAATGCTGATTTAAATCTATATTTATAAGCATATATATATATATATATATATATATATATATATATATATATATATATATATATATATATATATATATATATATATATATATATATATATATATATATACATATATATACATATATATATTAACATATATATAAACATACTCTACATTGCCAGTGTGTAGCATTACAGTTTTAAAGAATTCTTAACTAGAATATATATTCTCTAACAATCTGTTTAACACTCAAAATCTCTAACAATCTGTTAAATGCTCAAAGTGGTTGAAAACTAGAGGGAGTTTGTGTCTTCCTTTTTCAATAAAATAACTAAGAATATTAATTAACATATGAAAGATATGATAGATAGATATTTTCAGCAACTTGAGAAATTTTCCCAGAATAATAATGTGTATTTTTTGGGTTTTACAACATATTATCACATTATCTAAACAAGCAAAAGTAATTTCTTATATTCCTTCTTTTTCTATAAATTTGTTTATAATTTGTTCAAAAACAAGCAACATGATTTTTAATTCCAAAAGAAATTTGTTTAAATTGGAACAACCTGCTATTTGCTTCAAAAGCTATAAATTTTTGATCATTTCTAATAGTATGAGTTTGATGGTAGACAGATTTTGAATCGATTAATGGCAACCCTCTCACTGAGTCCTCTTCTTTAAAACTTCTTGGATTATCACTCACTACTAAATTCTTGTGGAAACCATATATACAATTGATTGCTAAATTAACATTTGCTAAGGTTGCTTCTCTTAATGTGCTCACCATTTTTTTACTCCTGATTTTATTCTCTACCTCTACAAATCTCTTATTTGCCTTTGTTGTGATATTTGAACTGGATCTTCTAATGATGCTCTCTCTCTACTAGACAAGGTCTTAAAACGCATTGTAAAGGTATTTGGACCTATCTGCCAAGTTTGAGCCTCTCTTCATTGTTCTAAATCCTTTTCTCTTTTCTACAATTACTATGATGGTAGCTATTGTAAGAATTTGATTCACTTTGAGAAAAGTAAAAGATTACATAAGAGCAAATCTCAAGAATTATTAGGAAAAATGTTAAATGCCAACAAACTGGCAAATAATTAACCAATACACCAGCTTGGCATCAGACTGTAAAAATGTAAAAGGACAAATAAAGAAAATTTTAGATGTTTAGAACTATGGGCTAATTTAAATTTTCCGACAATAGACAAAAGATCAGTGCCAAAAATAACAGAAAAATTGATTAAAAAGAGACAAATAGAAATAAAAAAACCAGGTACTTATAGTTTTGATGGTTTATTAGATATAACAAAAGAAGATGGAGTTAGGTTGGATTCTGAAGATAAAAATATTTATTTAAAGCAGTAAGAGACATCTGGTAGATTGAGATATACTACAATGAAGCCTGATGATCCTAAAAAAAAAACATTTGAGGAAAATTAAAATTGAAAACATTCCATCAATGCCATCGACTTTAATTCTGAATGAATACAGAGATGAACACGAAAGTAATGAGTCAGTAAATGACAGTGGCAGTGATTATGAACCTTCAAAAAATAATTATAAACAAAAAATTAAACACAGGACAGTCGAGGCTGTTAAATTGGTTTGTCAAGCAAAGTCAAGTACACAAAAAGCTGCCAGAGTATTTCAGATGGCTGATGTCAATCTTCCTGCACCAACTCAACCAGCAATCTATATGGCAGTCATCAAAGAAGGCAAAAAGTTATGTGATTAATTGAGAAAAGAACTGAAAGTCGAGAAAGTTGGTGCTTGCTAAAGAACAATAAAAAAGAGGTTAGGCTAAAGCCAATTGTATTGAAGAATGGAAAATCAGAGACAATTTTCGAAGGACTTCAAGAACTTTTGAATGAATATGATTTAAGGAGATCTATAAAAATGATCATGACAGACAGATGATCGTCATACTACAAATGATCGTGACACTACAAATGTTAACATTGGGAAAACAAGTGGCTTGATGAATAGATTTCAGTAAAACAAGTGACATGATAAAGTGATATGTTAAAGTGAAATCTCTCTATGTTGGTTGTCAACACCATATATTAGAGCGATTATTAAAGTTATGTCTGGATGACTTAATACCAATTAACCTGAACTGTCATGTTATTTTGTTGAAGCAATTGAATACGTAATAAATATGACTATTCAACATTGAACTTTGACAATAGTGGTATACAACTGAAGGAGAATGAACTAAAATGGAGAGATAAAATGCTTTATAGTTTTTGAAGCATCTGGTTAATGTAGTGAAATACTTTTGGAATAAAAAGAAATTTCCTA